GTTTCTTGTGAGTGTTTCCCCGGGAAACAAACACAATACATACAAATGCCTCACAGATTATTTCGTGGTATTTGGCTGCCGAACGAAATCGTGTACGCAGCTCGCGACGTAACTAGGAGTCTAGTGGACGGTATCAGTACTACAAGTAAAAAAAATAAAAAATAATATAGGCCTACATATATTTTTAATTAATTACGTTGTTTATAAATTCATCTGAGGGCCGCATTTGCCCAACACTGCATTTATTAGGCTTATTAAATTAAAAGTAACTAAAGCTGCCAACTAAATTGAAGTAAAGTGGTATTTTTTTCCTGTGAAATTAGCAGAAGCAGAAGAAACACACAAGTAAATGACACCGTTTTTTTTTACACAGGTGTAAATGTTCTTACTTACTTTCAACCATTGAAAAGCTTGTCACTTTTTTAGTTGACACTTTCTATAAATCTAATAAAAACACCATTTCATAAATGTTCTTTTTTAAATTAATGTCATCAATGGCAAATTGAAACAGCTGCAGGACCCTGAGGGAAGTCTTCTGTCTTCATTGATTAAACGGTTTCCGTGTTCTCACCGCCCCCCCTGCTGCCCCTCACTCTCCTTCTCCCTCCTATCCTTGTCAGTGATTGGCTCCGAGTGCGAGGGGCCGCACCATCTTTCTTATAGTTTGTATGTAGAAAGACTTTGGAGAAAATACAGCCGAGTCAGCCCCTCATGCTAAAGTGTGTTATCTGTTGAGCACATCATACAGGCATCAAGAAAGTCAGAAGAAACAGCAATAATGACTTTGTGAAGTTGTGTTGGAGTTCAGAGGGTGTGCTAGTGAATCTGTTTCCACCAGGCTGCATATAAAGGTTCCCACCAGCCAAATGTACTCTATGTTTCAATGTGCAACTTCACCTTTACCTCAGATCAAACTTATACATTAAATAAAATATGTCAACATTTCATTTGAATTTTAAATTGTATTTATATAATATGTCAACATTAGAGCTTTTAACGTTGTTTCAGCAAACTTGTTAGCAGTTATTTAAACATCCAGCAGAAATGAAGTTGAATGTTTAGCTCTGTTTTTGATCTCAAAACATGGTCTCCACCGACTCCTGAGAACAACATCTGTCTCTTCAGTTGATCAATACTCCACTTTGTTCACCAGCTGGTCTCTTAATGTGCGTTGCTGTTGTGAGTGCTGAACAGGTGAAGTACAGTAGGTTTTTCAGAGCCTTTTTCATATGAAAGCAGCCTTTTTGTAGAATCTCAACATCTTCCATACATTTATTGTAAATCAAATCAGTAGAAACACCATAATGAACATGAGTTTGTAATTCAACTGGTTTAATACTTTACAAGTGACAGTAGATTTAAAAAAAGAAAGACAAAGCATTAACAAAGACACATTGAAAGGACTAAGATCACAATGCTAAAGCGTTTAGTAATGGACTTTATTTTTCTACAAAACATGCACTTGGTGTAGAAAGGGAACAAATCCGTTATCCGTTACAAATCTAAGAGGAGGTCAGAGCCATAGATTAGAGCTGACATAAGGATCATTGTAAGGTTCCATCCTTTTCCAACCATTTCCATTAAAAAGCTCTTCTACTTGGCACTTTGCGTATCACTTCAATAACAAGCTGATGGTTTAAAAAGCAACATCACCAGTCAAGTCCATCAGGCTCATCTCCAGGTTTTTTTCCAATTCTGTTTCTTGGATTGCCATGACATTTTGTACCAATGTTTTCCAGATGACTTCTCCTAATAACCTTGTTATCCTCTGACTTCTCGGGCAGGCCACATTTGCACTTATTCAGTAAAAAAGCTTAAAGTCTGCTAAATGGATTGACACAAAACTTGGTCTGGACATTCAAAGTGGTCAGTTCACGTCTCATACTAACAAACTATGGTGATCTTGTCTTGTCACCAACATGTTAACATTAGTGGTCAAAGTGAATTGTCAACTATTGGAGGGGTTGCAATGAAATGTAATATAGGCATTCATGTTCATACTGTTATAAAGAAGGTCACATTCTGTCTTTCCAGCACCATCGTCATGTCAATACTATTGTTTATTGCCAGATATCTGCTAATGAATGGCATTCCCAGCTGACCTTTCAGTCAAGACATTATAAGCAGATTGAAGCATGCTAAACTTAGATGGTACAAATTGACATGAATACAGGTTAACATTGTTATTGTTGGCTTTTCATAGCATACTGATATTATCAATAAGCTCACCGCTGTGCTCTTAGTCCTTGACTCTAGCCTTTCTTTGCTTTTAGCTATTTGAGTAATTTAACTAAATGAAAGGTAAAATGTTTGACTCAGGTCTGTGGCCTTGATGACAGTAGCTTCTTCACCATTTTCTCGTTAAACAGATACCCAGGCACGCTGCTACCAAAGGTACCAGACAGACAACCAGTGTGAAAGCTTAAACATTTTACTTCCACCATATAAAGGCTTTAGGTCACTTGTACAAACCAGGTACTAGAAAATAATTCAAATGAACTTTTCTTACTTTCAATTTTGTTAAAAGAAATTCTGTTTAAAATGTGTTTCTCTGTTGCGTTGAATAACAAAGTGTGTTTTCTTTAAGGACTTGATGCTTTATGTTTCAGGTCTGTGTTTCTAAATCATGAGTGAGCAGCCTGACCTTATTAAATCTTAGCTTCATGAAACAGCCTAATCAGTTCATTTAGCTATACTTTTTCACATTGTGCTCCTCTCATAATGAAACACCTCTCTTTTGGATGCTATAGTTTATTTCTGTCTGTACTTTGAACACGTTCCCATAATCCCTCTTGTCACCCCTTTCTTTCTCTCTCTCTCTCTGTCACACACACACACACACACACACACACACACACACACACACACACACACACACACACACACACACACACACACACACACACACACACACACACACACACACACAATCACACATATCCCATACGAAATAAATAGCAATATATACAAAACTCACACAAAACCCATCTACACACAATACGCAACTAACATCACGTAAACAACCAACACAATGCTTAGCCCTGTCATGATATAAAATAACGTAAAACCAAAAAAAGAAGGATTCCAGCATTAACAGAATCCAGATAGAGGCATTTCACAGGGGTGTATGCTGTGTGTTCCCAGACGTCACATTGCTGTGGTATAATCTCCACCGTCATATTAACAGTCTTAAACCCTTGTGACAGAATCAAAAGGCAGCAGTCAAAGGATAACTCCTATGAGCCAGCGGTTAAGAAAAACATGATCCAACCTTTATTTTGCAGGCAGCCCGTCAGTCATCTTCCTCCCAACATACCTCACCTCTAAAGTGAAACAAAAGGAATGGCTAAGTCATATTAAATAACTATTGTTATAGAAAGGCAGTATAAAGTCAAGCAGCCACAGTGACAGTCTCCTTCAGACCGTCACACAGACAGCTTTACGGTAGGCAGGAGGGAACGTTAAGGTAACGACGGTGACACCAGAAAAAAATGACACTAAGAATCATTTATGTTGGAACGCCACAAAAAATGTAGGCAGATGTATTACACCCCTACCAGGGTTCAGTCTCCTGCCTCAAAAATGATGAACTTGAAAAGTAGATTTAATCATCATTACTACAGCTATGGAAAGACTTCTAATAATACGATGCCCCCTTGTGAATGATGACATTATTGAAGAAGAATGCAGGTTTATTAACATTTGGCTCTTAATTTCATACTTTTGGGAACGTTTAAAATGTATGTTTTCAAATTTGACTTGACTAAAATCATTCATGAGACGTAGGAACCTGGCAACACCTTCAATTTAGAGCAGTGTTTCTCAAAGTGGGGGCGCAGAGGCATGACAGGGGGGGGCGCAAGGGACCAGGAGGAAAAATTGTTATGATAAAAAAAAAAAAAAAAAAATTATTATTATTATTTATTCGAAAATAATATGCTACAGTACAGTACAAGTACGTCTGGGTCTCTGTGTTTCATTCAAGCTCGGCTCTGTGTGTGTGTGGAACGAGCCATTTTGTGTGCGTGCGTGAGCAAGAGAGAGAGCGCACCGGTACCGGAGATCGTTGTTGTTAACTTCTGGTGCTAGCGAGCTACGCTAACGGGTATAAGGAGCTTTTTCAACAACAAGATGGAGGAGAGTCCTAACTTTAGTCTAAGTTATCTCAGTGGTTCTCAAACGGTTTGGTCACGATTAATGTAAACAATTATTTCCGAGGCACACCTTCATATGATCATTATAGGTATAACAAAATAAGAGAATAAATGAAAAACAGGTATGAAATACTATATGGCAGTAAAACAAGAATACAGTTTAAAAGGGGAGTGATTTGTAAAATATCCATAAAGAAAAAGTAAATCTGTTTACAGTTCTGTTTCAAATGGGTGTTGAGAGATGTATCCATAGATCTCTTCATTTTGCTCTCAAAGTGCACCAGATTGATGCTTTTAACTTCAATATTTAAAAATAAATCATCCCGGGGGACCATGCCCCCGGACCCCCCTAGAGGAGGTTAGGTCCACCCTCCACTTATAAAAATAGCACTTTACCCCTGCTTACACCTATATGCCGTGAGCTGATTATCGAGCCTTCATTGTAACAGTCGCGGGTACACTGTGTATTTGCGTGGGGATTGTTGCAGTAGAAAGTTCCTCTGTAGCGCCCGGTACCTTAATGGGAAACCCTACATGTTTGAAAACCCTCTATGAAACGTCAAGCTACCCCACAGCACACCCAAAAGAAAATCTCTGGCGCCGCCACTGAGCCTGCAACCCCGTTTTGAAGAAATGTGCAGTGCCAAACAGGCTCATTGCAGCCACTAATGATAAGACACACTTTTTTGCCAAATATCAGCATTTTCTTTCTTTTCATTTTTTTTGCACAGATTACAAAGTGGCAAAGTATTATAACTTATTGTTCTAGCAAAGGGATTTCACAATTGTATTATGTATTTTTTTTTTGGAGCACACAGACTTATGGAGCATTGTTTTATTATCACTGTTCTAGCAAAGTGATTTTTTTTTTTCTCCAAAAGGGGGGCCTGACAGAAAAAGTTTGAGAACCACTGATTTAGAGGATCACCCAGGTGTTTACACTTGTGTTTTTACAAGACAACCCTTATCCCAACCGCATGGTTTGGAACCGAAAATACGGCCACCTGATTGTTGCGTTTAATTCCTTATTAAAGACAAAAACTGTGTGCACACAACTGTAGTAGGGCTGGGGCCTAAAGCTGAGACCTGGTTCCATACTGCTTATCAAACATGAGATCCATCCCAACCCAGGACCTGAAGCTATGATCTCAATGCATCCTGGGTGCATTAACACCTGTACTCAGTTCTCTCCACTTATGATTGGATGTTCACTATGCAATGGGTGTTAAAATACGACACTCATGAAAGATTACCACTGAAACAGTCAAATAGGTTCAGATCAATTTCAGTCAGGTTTGTTAAGTCAAGATCACTTTAGGTAAAACCTTTACTGTGCTTCTTCATTTTTTAACCTGGGGGGGTTGTTTGGCCCTCCTGACCATCTGTCATCTCGAGTTTCTTGTTTAACATTCTTAAGAGCAATGTGGTTGTGTTCGTAGTTCTCTTAATATCAACTTGGTCCGAAAAATGTTATGATATAAAGGGTTTGCAAAAATGTAAATGAGATCCAAGGTCTTAGAGAGTAGAATCATCCCATAAGACCATCAGTCTCCTCAAATCTCCTCAAATCTCAAATCAGCTTCCATTGTCTCCCTGTTGTCACATCATAGGGTGCTTGAATGGTCCATATGCCCTTCAGGGTGGTTCAGATATTTCTGTCAAATGCTCATGTGCTTCTCTGGTGTGACTTTTGGGAGAAAGAAAAAATGTAATCTAACCATGATGTGTTTGTAGCCCAATGGGATAATTCAATGCTTCTATTTTGACACTGTGTCACATATCATTTAGGCAAACTCTTTTGAAGTTGTGCTCTGGTGTTGCACCTGTATCATTTCCGCCCTTGCCCTTCAGAGATTCTGTGAACGCCAATGTTTGAACACGGTTCAAACAGTTTTCCATTTCAGTGTTTAGTGTTTTGTAGCTCTAGTAATAAATACATACAAACATTTTTGATCTGTCATTCACGGGATCATAAGTTAAGTAACTGAATATCAGTTATTGGCAGGTCCAATCCAAATGTATCATCAGTATGGGCTTTCCAAAATCCCAATCCGTTGACCTCGACAATGTTAGTTCCTCTTGCACTCTTAACCCTTGAATAACCTAAGAAAAAAAAGGGTTGTGCAAATATAGCTCAATAGAAGCAAGTACTGGGGCACACCCCAGTGAAAATCTGAAGCTCTAAAATTGAATATCCAGTTGAGAACAGGCGCCAATCAATCACAGTTTCATTCCAATGTTCAGAACCTCAGCAAAGCAAAACATATCCAGGAACTGTAAAGTAACATCAGTTATCAGCAAAATCAGAGGTATTGATCCAGACGTGGACAGTGAAATGATCAAGAGTTCTTCAGACCACATGTCAGCTGGCACACTGGAACTTTCCATAAGGGAATGTCAATGTATTTCCAAGGATAGCACAGTCCATGTAGTGCTATTAAGGCACCATGCAATCCCGTCCCACGTAGTATTCAATGTAACACACACAGGCCCTATTAACGTTAACCCCATGGCGGCCATTTGGTAAATGTGTCACTCCTGGGATGAGAAACTCATGCTACAACATCAGATAACAGCATGTCTACTTTACTGTATACGCACCATATCAAAAACGTTGGAATTTCAGATTCCTCTCTAAAATCTATCCATATAGCTTAGTAACAAGTTACTGTGGCTTTGTTTGTAAAAGCTTTAATATGCCTAAAATGATCTGTGATGTGTCATCAAATAAGTGTACATATCTGTTCCACATGGCTACACGCGGGGGCGGGGTGAAAACCCCCTCCCTGAAGTCTCGACGCTGTCGATCATACAAACTATAGAGTTGATGCACACTTTTAGAGTTTTTCTCAAAGTCGTTCTTTGTGTTGCACTAGGCTTCACTCATAGTAACTGACGCAAATTCTCCAAACTTTAGTGTGTTAGTGATCCAATATTAATAAGTTATAAATATGTGATAATTACTTTGATTTAAATTGAGCATTTCCTTTACAAAAATTCCCAGTTTCCTTATTATTAGGACCAAAGTATGTACGTCTCTCATTGAAACTTCCTTGTAAAAATGTAGAACTTATGTTATAGACATATAACATAAGTTTGAATTTATATGATCTTTTTATACACTAGGTGGCAGGTGTCTTGGTGAGGGACCAGTTTTTGCGAGAGAGAAATCATTTGAGCAAAAACCTGTAGTATAAATTCAGTAACAGAAAAATCCTGCTAATTGCTCTTCAAGACTTTCCCCCACATTTATGGGTGACTTTGGAAACAGGTGGAAACAATTAAACGTGGTTGGGCAATATATAATAAAACCTAAGTTGTTTAAAGCATACTTAGGGCCCTCAGTCCTTCATTTAGACAGCACGCAGTTTATACAAACCTGCGAGTTTCTCATCCTGGAGGTGGACAAAACATCCCTGGTGTACTGTGGAATTGTGGGAACTGCGGTCATGTCAGGAAGCTCAGTATTCTCAAGTCTTTTGATGAATTTTGTTTCCACTCGCTGCTTTCAACATTGTCTGTTAGCTAGTGTTAGTCCCACAGAAACCTCTCCTGTGAGGTGAGACCGACTATAAAACTAATACAAGGAGGAACAGTGTGTTTCTTTCAGTGTGTAACGGTGTGCGCCTGCATGCATGTAGGTATATGTATCGTGTCTGCATCATTTGGAATGTCCACATCTTCCTGTGCGTGTCACTGTCCAGGGTAGGTGGGGTAGTGTGTCGGGGAGTGTGTGTGTATGTGTGGCTGGGACTGTGCATGTGTGTTGGCCAGCGGCAGCGTGGCATGGCGGTCGGGGGGTAGGCAGGAGGACAGCAGGTCGTCCTCTGAAGCATCTCCTGGAGACAGAGCGGAAACACAGCTGTGACTGCAGCTCCAGGCACACACACAGGTGTACGTGTGTGTTCTCACTTTGGACAGAATCAGGATAGCTGTTTCTCCCTGCCTACAGTGTGTTTGCTAAGCCAACCATGTCCGGACTCCAGTTCTTTACTTCTCACTTGACATTCCCAACTTTAGGAAGAAACTCCATCAAAAACTATAGAAGTGTTATTTAACACTGAATATGAGATATGCTTTTTGCTTTAACTCATCATTATGCAGTAAATGTATGGAGGTTATTCCCTATCTTTATTCAACAGCGTGTTCTTTTCATTTGAGAGCATCATTTATTGATTTCACGTTCAGATTTTGTATTTCTTTCAGTCAAACGAGTAACTTACGGGACGCTCTAATATGTAAAGCGAACACGCCAGCAAGGAGACGACACTTTACCTGGCCTCCTATTGGTTGAGGGATTTTGAAATGGTTTTTGCACAGAAAAGATCCAAGCGCAGAGCAGAAATGTGAGAGCAGACATTTGACGAGCGCAGTCAGCGCACAGAAGCAGCCTGAGTGCGAGGAGAAGGTTTTAAACTGGAAAACAGGACATCTGTGCAAGCAGCAATATATCTGAGTGCAAGCGTACAGTTTGAGCAGAAGCAGAGCAAATCTAAGCGCAAGGACAGGGTTTGACTGAAAGAAATACAAAATCTGAACGTGAAATCAATAAATGATGCTCTCAAATTGAAAGAACACGCTCTTGAATGAAGATAGGGAATAACCTCCATATAAATGTTGATGTAATGATTGTAGGATAACAACACAATCAGCTTTTAGATTGATCCCTATGAAACCTGCTTTCACTGTCATGCTAATTTTAAACATGCGCATTCATTTGCAAAAAGCTTAGTGGTTGTGTTGCTTAAAAGGTTATCTTTACTACTTTATACAACTACGTTTTAGTAAGAAACCCCTCTACTCCAGCCTAATGGGGCCAGCGGGTGTGTTGGGAGGCACGACATTAGGTAAAGGCACAACAAATAGAAAAGCTGTCATGCTTTTGCACTTACAAGAAGTATGCAAAGTATACAATAAAATGTCTATTTAAGAAAAATAATCAATAAAAAACATTAGTGAAGGCCTGTGTGTGGCGTACCGCTGCAAGGATCCATGCCTGCCTGGTTTCCAGTGATGTGGTGCCAGTAGACGGAGCGGGGCAGGATGGCTGTGGGGGTGCAGGGGTAGGAGCCCGGCTCTGAACCCACAGACAGCAACTGAGAGGCATAAACACACACATTGAAGAAACTGGACTGTATATTAGTTATTTCTATTCAAGTAGCAGAATATCGACAAAATATTAGTATGAATTTTGTTTCACTGCACTACTGAAGCATATTCACAGTAAGCTTCATAATGTGTTTTGCTAGCACTGATAAGAAAGCTGGATGGATGGGGCTGAACTCCAGGTGGAACGGCATGGAAATGTCATGTCATGACCAAGATTAACACGGTCATCAGCAACATGGCATTGTGTTATTATCCTGGGAAATGTGTTTTACCTTTGACTGTGCACTACTGAGGAACTTAATATGCTCATGAAAAATGTGTTTAAAACATGTACTCACTATTTGGAATGTAATCCTTCTGACTATAAAGCTGCTGTAAACTGTTATGGACCTTTGGAGCTTCTTTTTTTTTGCCACTTGGGGGCAGCAAGCAAACTAACACTTAATAGCATCTCCTATTAAAGAAGAAATGTTATTAGCAAACAGTTGTTGTTTTTTAATACTTAAGACACAGAGCAACATTAGCATTTATTTAGAGTTATATATTTAAAGGCAGTGGGGCAAAGTAACTAAGTAGATTTACTCAGTGTTCAGTTATTATGCTCCAAATATCTGGAACAAACTCCCAGAAACCTGCAGGTCCACTACAACTCTTACTACTTTTAAATCCAGGCTGAAGACTTTTCTTTCTTTGCTTTTAATTGAACTATTCATATCTCACACTGCACTGTAAGTTTTAGTCATGTCTTTTATACCTGTGTTATTATGTTTAATGTATTATCTTTGCTTTGACAGTTTTTAAAAATGCCCTTGTATAATGTGTTTCCGCTGCACTATTTCTTAATGCTCTTAATGTCTTTCATTTTCGTAAAGCACTTTGAATTGCTTTGTGTTGAAAGGTGCTATAAAAATAAACTTGACGTGCCTTACTCAGGGACTTTACTTTAGTACAATCGTTAAGGGACTTGTACTTAGCTGGACTATCTTAATTTGATGCTACTGTGTACTTCTACCCCACTACAGTTCAGAGGTACATGGTGTACTTTTGTATTTAATACCTTTAGTTACTTCACAGATGTAGATGAATGATGTGAAATCTAATCAAGTGTTAAATCAGACTTTAGTTCCACCTGGAGTAAATTCACAAGCTACCCTGCAGTATACAAAGTCATTCAAACTAGCTGCACCTTTACCAGCTTTGAGAACACTTTCATGATCAATCATTATAAAACATATCATATATATTATTCTGAAATGGACCAATCTGCACAATGACTACTTTTACTGTTGCTACTTTAACTATATTTTGATGCTTCTTTTACTTGAGTAACATTTAAATGCAGGACTTTTACTGTAACAGAGTATTCCTACACTGTCAAGGGGTGAACTCAGACTCATGAACCCAAATGCACAACTCAGACTCAGAGGGTTGCAAAAATAAAGTACTTTACTGGGTAATTTCACAGTAACAAAACAGAGTACAAAAAATCACTCTTTCGAGGAACAACTAAAATACTTCCATATGGAGCTTTGGAACAAAAAATAACAAACATGGCACAGGCTTGAGGGTACGCAGGTAATTCGAGTCATGAGAAGAGACGAACTGGCACAGGACAGGTGTAGACTAAGACAATATATACACATGAGGTAAGGGGCACAGGTGGAAACAATCAGGGCGGGGTAAACAATCACAAACTCAGGAGACACAAAGGGGCGGGGAGCACAGTGACCTGAAACGAGAGGGAGAATGACTTTTCAAAAATATAAACAGGGAGGCACAAGACAAAGGGACATGACAAAAGCTAATTTAAAGAATATAACTTAACAATAATCTTTCGAGACATGACATACAGTGTGGTACTTCTACTTTGAATTAAGTACAAGATCTAAGTACTTGTTCCACCTCTGTTTAAAGGGCTTTATTATGTTATGCACAGCTAGAGTGTAAATATGCAATGACAAACTCAAGTCACAGGCTCCTTCAACAATGCAACATAAACATATTTAACATTAACTCTGATTTGTGTGTGTGACTGTGTGTGTGTGTGTGTGTGTGTGTGTGTGTGTGTGTGTATGTGTGTGTGTGTGTGTGTGTGTGTGTGTGTGTGTGTGTGTGTGTGTGTGTGTGTGTGTGTGTGTGTGTGTGTGTCTCACCCTGCTGTTTTTCTCTATTTCCAGCAGGACCTTCTTGTGCTGCTCAGCTATAGCCAGTGTAGAGGAGTGGACCCTCTGGTAGATCTGCTCCCCCTCTCTGGTCTGGAAGGTGTAGAGGCCTTCCCCGCTGTCACATATCCTGCACATGACAGCAACTCAGTTTGTTTGCAAAAGTCAGTAAATATATATAATTACAATAAATTGCCTTGTGTTGAAAGGTGCTATAAAAATAAACTTGACGTGCCTTACTCAGGGACTTTACTTTAGTACAATCAAATGCCTGTTAATGCCTGTAAAGCAGCTACATTCAAGAGACACATTATTTGGGAGTGAAGCAGTAACACACACACACAGACAGAGGGCTCTGCTGCTGCTCTGGTTTGTTTTAGACGACACACACACACACACACACACACACACACACACACACACACACACACACACACACACACACACACACACACACACACACACACACACACACACACACACACACACACACACACACACACACACACACACACACACACACACACACAGGGCTCTGCTGCTGCTCTGGTTTGTTTTAGACGACACACACACACACACCCACCCAGCCACCCACACACACCCACCATCACCCACCCACCCACACACACACCCCCACCACCCACTCACACGCACTCACACACACACACACACACACACACACACACACACACACACACACACCACACACATCACACACAGCCACACACACCACCCACACAGTCACACATAACACACACACAACACACACAAACACACACACACCACCACACACATCACACATACACACACACAACACCAATCAGAGCTCATCAGGTTTTAAATCAAAGCGGAGCAGAATTAAGGAGGTCCTGACCCGCACTGATTAATTGTCTCATAGCCTATCCAATCAAGATCAATATATATAGAGATAGAGATATAGAGAGAGAGTATATAGAATAAAGTAGAGAGAGAGAGGAGAGAGAGAGAGAGGTATCCTTTGATGACCGTCAGCTGACTGACAGCTGCACATGCACATACTTTAGTTTGTGAGGTCCAATAAAGCGCATAAACACACACTGTATACGTATACACGTGTTATAACAAAGGATGTGTTGTCCCTGACTCTGAAAGTGTGGGGGGCCATGATGTATGTATTCTGCATTGATCTGGGGAAGGAGATTGATCTGACACCCCCGCCATCTCATCCCAGTCTTACCTTCCAGCCTCGAAGGTGAAGCGCGTGGCGTCGCGGCCGTAGCGCCGCAGCGAGCACAGCGGCCAGGTGACCAGCTTGGTGCGGGGGTTGTTGATGTCCCACAGGTAGATGTTCTCGTGGGTGATCTGCATCATGCACTCCCCATAGATGTCCAGGTTGGGGCAGGGGAGGAGGAACACGTTGAAGCGCTCTGAGGAGACCAGAGAATGATAGGACCGTCAGGGACTGAGGTCCGCTGGCATTACTCCAGCTCTTAAAGATTATATAGCCTCAATTATAGAGGACTATACATTCTGAAAAAGAGAAGAGGACACGGAACCAAGCAAAGCGCTCAGGTGATTTAAACACGGGCCCCAATATGGTCAGTGTTGGAAAGTAGTAGTAGGCAAATAGTAACATTTACTAAAGTACTGTCAAATTGTTAGGTTATTGTACTTTACTTTACATTTCATATTACTTTATATGCTTACTTACAAATCCATTATACACAACCTGACAAGCACAACATATATATGATGATGAACATGGTGGAACCTTTAGCAGCTGAAGAGCCAGAGACCAGAGAGTGAACATTCATCAGGCACACACACACACTCAGGTGGATGACTGTTGTTCTGTTTGCTGGAAGTAGGCAAATAACTGCTAAAATGTTCAACAAATGTATATAGTGATCATATGTCAATATGTAAAAGGGGATGTGTTAAGGCAACCAAGTCTCACAAAAAAATGTGTGATAGCTACGTTGGTCCACAGGGCACAGCATAGTATGTCAACAAAAATCCCTCTCAAATTGTGACATGGCTAATTAATGTTTTCCTATACATTTCTAATGGCCAGTGCCCATCCCAGTGGATGTGTAGGATCTATATTTTGATAGATATTACGAAGATTATTTGAGGTCTCACCAGGAGAACGTGTATATACTACGTATGTAAACTCGTATAGAGTTTGCTCTGCACGCACCAGGGGCGGTTCTAGGGGGGGGGGACAACGGGGGCCAGTGCCCCCCTAACACTGACTTTGGACCCCCCTGTGGCCCCCCTGAAATGAAAAGTTTATGATTAAGCGATTTCTTGGCTGACGGAATAGCTTAACTAACGTTATTTGTCATTCTAGTCGGACCCATTAGAGCGTAAACACTGTAACTATAAGTATCTGAAATAAATATGTGAACTGAAACAAATACCAATAACTGTATTGCATTGTTTTCTTATGCGCCATTACTTCATAGTGTGTTTGTCTTTTTCGTCCTGCATTTATTGTGCCCCTCTCAGAAAAGAACTGGCCCCAGCTTGGCCCCCCCCAGTCAAATTGGTCTAGAACCGCCACTGGCGCGCACCCCCTGAAATTGTGAGATTGCTACGTCTTTCCCCCAATTAATTTCTATTGGTCAGCGTCCATGTAAAGTCAATTGATTGGTTGTGTACAATGCTTTTGTATCTTCGATTCTGAGAAACAAGTATTTTTTTCGGAGATTTGGATAGCTACTACCCATAATCCTCAGCTACCGTTGTGTAGGGGAGGCGTGTGGCGCAGTGGATAGAGCATTGGTGTTCGGATCAGGGGGTCACAGGTTCAAACCCCACTGCAGTCAGCATGTCGTTGTGTCCCTGAGACACTTCACCCCAAATTGCTCCTGTGGGGATTGCCCACAGTATTGAGTATGTAAGTCGCTTTGGATAAAAGCGTCTAACATGTAACATGTAATGTAATGTAATGTAATGTAATGTGTAGACACCGCCAGTCCTCTTTGTTTGACAAACCTCGCGATTAGTCAACAAGCTCGATGATTGGATGTTTTAGTGGCGGTGCACCTCAGGAGTCGTAGTTTATAGATGAGAGTAACACCTAAGTCACTTCCTGGCGAAATTACGGCCCTGCCCACTTTTAGGGGAAGACATTCGCTGTAATTTGAATGCCGGTAAATACAGATTCTGAAGTCTGAATCACATCAAATACAATTCAGAAAACCTTTTTTTGGCCAATGATGATGGTCTGACAGGCAAACCATTAAAAAATGGCACTGGAGATGATGCGTCAATTTATAGTTTAATTTAAATCAATAGGGAACACATACAACATAATAATGCATCAGAGCAAACGGAAAATAATAGTTTCTTCATGTCCTATGCTGAGTCATAAATTGCATCTCAAACAACAAATAAATCCAGAGTTACAGTTTCTTTACTTCCTCTAGAGAAAAGAGGACAGTAAAAGAAATGATCTGATTCAGAAATCAGTTTCAGTGTCAGCCTGCTGCCTGCCACTCGTCCAGCAGACCGACCGCACATCCCCTATTTATACTGTATTGAACACCATTAAAATTACAGCGAATGTTTTCCCCCAAAAGTGGGAGGGCCGGAATTTCGCCCGGGAATGTGTTACTCTCATATAAATTATATGAAAAACTAAATGTTTTGTAATCAAATAATAATCATACTTTAATCGGCGTGTGATTGCTTTTCTCTTTGGAAGTCATCACATAAATGCATTGTAATACACGGTTCGGCTGCAATAAATATTACACATCTGCCGTAGTTCTCTATTTATAGAGCCCTGATCAGAAGACCTTTGGACAAACGGGAAGAACTGCCGCCGAAACTGAATACATGACGTGGATCATAAATATATCACCAATTAAACAACATCTTCAATTTCTCTTCACACAATACGTCTCCTTGCAGTATCAATACTAATTCGGCTGACTTTCATATTTGATTAAATCGGTAGATAGGCGTTTTAAAAACCTTATCACAACACCTACCAAAAAGAAACTACAGACACAGTGTTGTTTTGCATCATGATGCACAGCTGAATTGTAGTTTTGAAATATATTGTACATAAAGGCATTTCCTATCATTTAATTGTATTCAGATGTTATTAGATGTCTACTCTGAAACACTTTGTTACCAAGGTCTGATATTAAAGTTTAAAATTAAAGTTTATGATCATTGTTATGACTGTGTATTCATGTTATGTTTGTATCTCTGTTTAGAGATCCATGTACCATTTACTTGTAGCAAACATAACGTATTGATTAGCACCTTAAGGGGGCGGAAGAACCTTTCTGTCTGTGATGTTTTACAAATCAGATATTAATTTGTTCAAAACTGATACATTTTAGAGTCAAATGATATGTTCAAATACATAAATGAAGGACCAGGTACACTGCTGTCCTTTCTCTGCTAATGCCACTCAACAGATCTCTCTTAGACACCATGCTTCATTTGGCCTGCCACCCATGGAACGAGGAGGTGAAGTCTGAACCACTGTATGCAGTGCAGCTAGCAGAAGGTTCAACAGTACAGACAGATGTTACTCTGCTGCTCCTTCACCTGTGTGTTCACACTGCACTCCAGCTGCCAGGAGGTCAGGCTCCCCCAGACTGATGTCATTCAGACGGGTGCCCAGACACTCTATAGACAGGGTCTTAAACCAGTCCTCTGCTTCCAGCTCTGCAGGGGGATAGAGGGGGAGAGGGTGAGGGAGGGGGGGAGAGAGAGAGAGAGAGAGGGATGTATATAGTTCCAAGCTGAAAATGTCATTAATGGTTCAATGATTTGGAAAAACTATGTGTCATTATTACAGTATTAATGGAATAAAGCGAGTTGAATTTGAGACAGGGTCAGATGGTGAAATGAAGGCCTCTTCTACCCCTGTCTGGCCGGGTGTTTGGACTATGTGAAACAGTTACTGCTGCGCACGTCAGGTGTACAGCTCACAGCTTAACACTGGGCTAAGGAGGAACACACATCTACATAATAATAATATCAACAACCTACTGCCTTTTGGATAGAATTGTCATTAGGATTATGAAAGTTTATCCTTGATGTTGGAATTTCTTGGTGAACAACAATCAGGTGGACTGAGCATGCTACAACGCCTGTGAATAGTTACAGTGAAGTACATAGTAACTACTGAATAACAGGCTAAGGATTTTTGAGCCACCAGTCTCTTGTAATAGAGACAGCTTCACATACACAGGGGATAAGATGCGTAAATGGTCCTGGTCGGAATCAAACTGTGTCCATCGCAGCAGAGACTGAGCCACAGTACATCTGCATTTAAAGTTGAATATAAGTCTAATAAAACTAATTCTAATGACAGCAATGAGTGCATCGACAGTAAGAATACACTGTGTTTGTATCCGTGTCACACACATGATGTGTGAAATGGTACAGATAAAAACACCAAAAGGGATTATGTTTTGTGAGGTGAATGTTCAGGGTGAGTTTGGGGTCCATCCCTGACAGCACAGAGCTGTGTGTGTGTGTGTGTGTGTGTGTGTATGTGTGTGTGTGTGTGTGTGTGTGTGTGTGTGTGTGTGTGTGTGTACATTACCTGATTCACAGGTGAAGGTGCGAGAGGTGTCGTCTGTGAACACAATGGCCACTGCCTGTCTCTTGGTATCTCGAGGCAACCTTGTGATATTCTTGACATTGCTTATCTCTGTCACCTAGGTAACAGGTGGAAAGCAAAGTCGTTAAAGTGGTTATCAAGACTTATTGTTATTGTTTAATTAATGTGAAGACACCTCAGTTAAATAGCCTTAAAATTGGATATCTATGTTTAGGATGAAATGGTGACTCATACAGGGGTGGAGAGGAGTCACTGACACCTAAAGATAATTGTACATGTATCATTACACTACATTTATTAGCATGGCTTGATGTGTAAAATGGTGAGGAATAGAGTTTAAATAAAGCAACAGTTGGTAATTCAATTTTTTTTTTAAATAGTTGATCAGAGTTGATATATTACTATATCCTGACACTTGTGAATGAGAAATCTAAAAGCATCTGGAAGATTCCATGCAGCCGAAGGAAAGCTGATCAGTGTGTCTGGGACCCGACCACCAAAGGCAGACCAAGCACTGTCTCTCTGCCAGAGCAAACAGGCAGGCAGTGACAGAGGTGTCTTTATTTATGATCAGCGCTGCCTAGTTTGACAGTTTGATCGGAGTTCTTGAGCAGTGTACACTGCACTACACTCCTCTGCTGTGATTGGTTGTTTTCCACAAGGTGGGATAGGAGTACTGGGGGGGCAGAGGTAGTATCTTTATTCAGATTATCTGTCTGTGCACTACTGTCTGGATATAGAGAACGGTAATGATCAAAATATGTTTTGATTCCTCGAATAGAACTCTATTCATTGATGATGTGAGGTGACTTTCAGTCGGAGCACTTCCAAGGATTAGCCACTTCATTGTTTTTTATGGAATAACACTTTAATGTGTAAGAAAGAGAAACCTTCTGTCAAACTGCCTACAGATTCAAATAATAAGATAGAGCAAAGTCACTCTACAACTCGGCTTTCATTCATTTCACTGTGCCTGTCAACTCTGTCAACACGCACGTACACACACACACACGTACACACACACACACACACACACACACACACACACACACACACACACACACACACACACACACACACACACACACACACACACACACACACACACACACACACACACACACACACACACACACACACACACACACACACACACACACACACACACACCTTGGGGAAGGCTCTGATGTAGGCAGACTTCTCATCAGGGTATTTCTCCAGACGACGAGGTCCTTTGCTCGATGACTTCTTGAACACCAGCCAGCAGCGTCGATAGATCTATAACAAGCACACACACATTTAGGATAAAATGTATTACTACTACTTTTCTATTAAGATGTATAAATACTCCAAACCCTACCATTAGAACACAAATAAGTACATAAATACAAACATGCACATAGGGATTATTGGAGGTCAATGCCACTACTGTGGACCTTCTGACATGATGCAATGCGTATTTATTGTTTTCCTTATTAAAGGTGGGGTAGGTAAGTTTGAGAAACCGACTCGAGATACACTTGTTGTTATATTCCATGGAATGCTCTTAACATCCCGATAGCAATGAATATCTTAAGTGCTTTGACAAAAAATCCATAACAATTTTTAATCTGTGGAAGCCGTAATACTGTAAAAAGTACGACCAATCATTTTAGCCGGCCCGGCTAAAATAACTGGATGGCCTACCTGCCTGTCAGCCTTCCATCTGTGCACAAACTTATCTCGTGCCCTCATTGGTCATGTGCGCGTTCGTGTGTGTTGGAGGAGGGGCTCTGTAAGGAAGTGGCAGATTTTTTCCGGCTGTGTATTTTCAAATTCTAGCGCACTCGAGCTGGTTTCTCCAAAATGACCTACCCCACCTTTAATGATTCATTTGTATATCATTATATATACATATTCTCAATAATAATTGTGTTTGAGTGTGGTGTGGGTTTATGGGAAGATAGAGATAGCACCACAGTGGGACTTGTCCAGTGAATAAGAAGTGGCCTGCAGCTCTTTCTGACAACATGACATGTCCTCTAGTGATGTCTCAGAAAACACTACAAACCAACAAACTGAGCTGAGAGGCACACAAACAAAAGGCAACCTTTATTTAGAATCTAAAGTGAAATAAACTCATTTCTTTATCCCCCACTTTCTTATTTAAGTGAAGGGATATATACAGAGCAGGACAAGATGCTGATCTAACAGATGTGTTATGATTGGCATAAATATGCTACATTTATTTTTAGCAAGGGAGATGACTGATGTGTACTTTTTTAGAGCAGTTGATATATGTGACATTTCTTAGTAAATAATTATTTTTGGCTGTTCACACTGCTGGACAGTGACTCTTCCTACAGTGTGTGAAAAGAGAGATCTGAAAGATGCTGCTCAGTATTAAAATGTCACATTTTACATTTTCAAATCCATTGTAATCTATACATTCTATTGTAATGTCTGAAATAATCCTGTTTTTGAAGACACATTTTTTCATTAAAATGACTCAGAACACATACATAAGGAGTTCTAAGAAATAATAATGAATCAATTTAGTTGAACTACAGTAAAGGGCAAGTGGGTGATAAAGAGGAAAATCAGCTGACTTGTGTTTGGAATGGCCATGTATCCATTAAAGTGCCGACACAGCACTAACGCCATGCCCATGTAAAAACATCATCTCCTCACACTCTAATGTGAGCAAAGCCCTCTGGAGCGAGAGGAACTCCAAACTGCTGCACATCAATTCATCTTTGAAGATCTGAGAAGGGAGCAATTAGCACTTTCCACCCCCCCCCCGCCCTCTCTCTTAAGTTCACTGAGCGCTCCTCAGTCTGTCTGCTGAGACCCGCCTACTTCAAACAGGAAGGAGAGGAGGGATGAAGGAGAGGAGGGTTGAAGGAGAGGAGATGAAGGAGAGGAGGGAGATGGAGGATGTGCTAAAGAGAGATAGTAGACATGAAAGCAGAAGGGATGTTCACCGAGTAAAACTATGACTTCCACCACACATTAATAAATACAATATGACACATATTTAAATATTAATCTTATGAAAAGTGCTGATATACGTATCCGCTTCAAACAAGCCCCGTTTATGAGTTGGCTCCTGAACTGATCCTGGTGCAGCTCAGTGATGGGATTTCAATAATCTCACTAAGCTTGAAAAAGATATATGATAATGAAGTGATCTTGATAACAAAAATACATATTTTCCACAGTCCTACTTTACCAGAAGAGTTTGATAAAATGATATGAGTTTAGGGATTCATAATGATCAATAGAATGGGAGGCTATAAACAAGTTCATGGGAAATGAGAAGGATCAAACGCAGCCTGTAAACATCTTAACAAGAGGAATAAACGCTGATATATCCTGAGGTCCATCATTCATGCGAAATCAACATTCAACACTCAGAAACCTTTACACAGAAAACCGACAGAAAACGGTTTGCCAACCCCAGAAATCCAAATGAAACCTGACTGACCTGCAATGTTAACTATTACACTGCGATAAGGACTCCAAACAAGCACATGGGAGCGATCTGGGCTGACCTTTGGTTTGTGGAACAACAAATAGGAAAAGTTCAATAAGATATAAAACAGGGTTATATCTCTCACAGGCTCAGCCCTCTACTGGACCCTATAGGTACTACCCTCTATGCAAGCATTCACCTACTGAGATTTCTATAGACGTAGCCGGCCCCGGGGCGGGCCTACCTGAATGTGCGCGCATCTCACCGTATAAAAGGAGGCCTCGCCTCCTGACTATCATCCCTTTCTCTTCAGCGAGCGGGCAACATCTGAAGCAGAGATAAGACGTTTGAAAGAAGAAGAAAGAGTTATCATACCTCCAGGAGACCAGGGCCTGTCCTTCGTGCCCTGGCTTAAATAGCGGGCGCCGATCCCCACCACCTCTGCTTCGAGTGTTTGGGGGACCAGGATATGGCCGAGGCGGTGCCATTCACGTTCGCCATTCCTTCCGGGTCCGGCATCCATGGAAGTCCACCGCCCAGGGCTGTACTCTCCCTGGATGTTGATCATGGCGGCGGGTGTGTGGGCTACTCGCTCATTGCTAGAGATGCCCCCGCCTCACAAGGTCAGAGCGATTATTGGGCTGCAAGGCCTAATAAGTAGCTTGGTCCACGGGCCTTGCCTCCGCCCGGGACGAAAGGGCGAATCCCGCCTCCTCCCTGTACAATGCACAGATCACTACGTTTTCTAATAAAAATGAGGTTGATCTGTATCCAAATCTAAGTGTCTTTTGTTTCCACAAATGCTACACTTACACACAATGTTAACCGTACAAATTCCCCATTCGCTGCCCCAGCTGTAGCTCCTGTAAAGGAGGTGACTAGTGGGCATGCGCAGATGAGAGGGATGAACCGCAGGGAGTGCTATCTAAAGGAAAGCGCTATGCGGGTACAGGGACATTATGGCCGGCGTATTGCTGTCAGAGAACACACTACGCCTAGAGCAAAGACTCCAGTTAATGCAGTTTACCGTAGTGGTAAAGGCTGCATTATGGTGCAGCGCGCGCTCACACAAGAGCGTGAGGCGGTGCGTTCAGGTACCTCAGTAAATAATCGGCCCTTTCTGTGTCAACCCTCTATGGGCAAATCTTCCATTCATGGGGAGTTTTGCGGCGGAACGGGTCACCAGAGAGTATCACAGCTTCATAGCTGCGGCCCCACAGCTGAGGGCTTGTCCATTAACACAATGTTATGGGGAATGGAAACTCAGCTGTGTACTAATAGGGTGGATGGACAGGACGCTGAAACGGGGCTATTCACTCCAGTTTTGCAGCATCCCACCTCCTTTTATGGGCATGCGAGAGGTAAATCTGTCCTCCCAGGAGGAGATGGGTTTCCTCTCAGCGGAGATTCAGGCTCTGGTGCAGAAGCAGGCTGTGTCTGTTGTGCACCCTCAGCACAGAGAAAAGGGTCTTTATTCCATGTACTTCCTGGTTCTCAGGAAGACAGGGGAATTCAGACCTATTCTAGATCTCTGGGGCCTGAATCGTCATATTTCCTGCAGGAAATTCCGCATGTTAACTATGAAACAGTTACTGGGCTTGTGCAGCCAGGCGATTTGTTCACCACCATCGACCTGAAAGACGCGTACTTTCATGTAGAAATGGCTCCAGAGCACAGAAAGTATCTGCGTTTTGCCTTCCAAGGGATAGCCTACGAGTACAACAGGCTGCCGTTCGGCCAGTGGCGACTGGTCATTAGGGGCAGGTGGGGCACAGCCCCACCTAGTGTCAGCAGAAAGTATTACACATAATGATTACAAAAAATGCAAAGAGATGCAAAAAAAGAAATACAAAGATATATAAAATATATTTTAAGGTCATGTTTAATCATCTGATTCGTCTGTACATTGCTGTTTTAGTCTGTGTTCTTCTAATTAGTGTCTACAGTGCCGTTTTGACCCATGTGGGACAAAACCTGACCATGCCCCACCCACTCACTGTCAAAGTGAACGGTGACTGTAAAAACTACACTGCGCATGCTCAGAGTATTTTTCAATGTAATGTGTGTGGCAAAAAAAAAGAGACCAAAGGGGCACAGAGCTGCCATCCCCACCATACGTCATCTCAAATCATTCAGAGCTGATTGGCTGTAAGTACGTGTAACGCGAAAAGTGTGCTGTGTGAAGAGGAGACGAGAGAGCTGCAGTGACGCGTCCTAAAACCAGGAAGTAAGCTGCAAAAAAGCAATGAGGTTTCTACATACTGTAGGATTTTAGAAAATAGCTCGAAATAAGATCTGTGGGAAACGTACCTGTTAGATAAATGCACGTTTTGTTCAGCCGGATAATATCCACATGTCTACCCTACTTTTATAATTTTTTTATCATAAATCTATCGATTAGATTTATGATAGACTTTTGAAAGTACAAGACGATAAGGAGGACTTTTACAAAAAAGTAATAGAAATGTTTGTCCAGAAGGATAGGCAAATGGACTTCATCTTCAAGTCAAGGTAAGACCGCAATTTTATTGAAAATGGGATCTTACTAAGAGAGAACAATTCAATATTTAAATGATAAAATTACATTTTTTGGGTACCCTTTTGTTGAACTGTCTGTTTAAAATTAATCGAAGCATCAGACAAAAAAAGCTTTTGAAAATAATATTATATTTTGGTTTAGGTCAAAATATAATATTTGTAAACCTGAAGAGTCAGTGCCAGTGCCTCAGCAGCCATGAACCTCACTGCACGTCACTGCAGAAGCTTATATATAGACATCTACGTTTTTTGTGCCCCACCACTTTTGTACTTATAAAAACGCCAC